CCTTGGGGGGGGGGGATTTTGGCCCTAAAATTTTTTTGGGGGGGGGGGGTTTTCCGCTTTGCCCCAAAAGGGCCCTTTTACCCCCATATTTTTTTTTTTTAATTTTTTGGGCTTTTTTTTTTTCCAAATTTGGGTTTTGGGGGGAAGGGGGTTTTTTTTTCCCCCCCCCCCCCCCTGGAACAGTTAAGGCATGCAAAACTTCAGGGTTTCCCCCCCCCCCCCCCCACGGCCGCTGTGTAGATATCGAGACGAAGAGCTGGAGCTGGGAGAGGTTGTCAACTTCCAACTCCCGGTAGAGCTAGACGCGGGCAGACGGTGGCTCGAGGCAGGCCAAACACTGGTGAGTTAGTTGGGTGTTACAGGACTGGTTTCGCTTGCACATCGCTTTGTGTGTGGATGTGTGTTATTTTTGTTGTTAATGTTGTTGTTGTTAATGTTGTTGTCTTCACGTTTGAAACCGTTCCGGGATCTGCTCAGTACCGCCTACCATCCGTACCGACCCAACTGATGCCTCACGTGATGACAGGCCAACTACCCAAAAAGCGGAGTACAACAAATGTACCCAGACATGTATGTCATCACAAACGCGATAATAGAACACATAATATGCATGCCTATGTGTGAATTGACCTCTTTCGGGTGTTGATGCCGCAGTCGGAAGTAGATGTAGGGGTATCGTGGATGGGGCTGATCGGGATTTACCCTCTTTGCATATGGATGCTTATACTCGCCGTCCTGTCGCTGTACGATGAAGCCGAAAATATTGCATAGCATTATTCATATATCCAAGCTCCTGTTGTTGCAAAGGCGACGTTGAGATTCAAAGGGTCCAGCTCTTCGTAGCTGCAGACCATGCGCCCTGCTCTTGTGTTGCAAGCCAGGCTCTAGTTTGGAAGAAACTAGCCCTCTCTCTCCCATCTCTTCGTCCCACGACCATGCATTCTTCCTCTTGTTTCGTCCAGGTGCTGCAGATGGAGCTCATGTTTTCGAAGCTTGCTTCCCTCGAGGCAGACACTAACACCTCCAAGAAGGCCACGAATGGCGTGGGCGGGGAGGCTAGCGGCGGCGCAGCCGAGGAAGAGGAGGACGACGATGAGGACGTGCTCGACTTGGAGCCGGTTGCTGTGCAGCGCTTCGAGGCATCGCTCAGCGCCGGCCATTGGGGCCTGCACGCTTACGTGCCTGTGACGTTCAGTGGCGTCCATTTTGTCCGGGTGGATTGCATGGTGAGGATGATGCTGGTGTAGTGCGTTTTGGGCATCCAAAGCGCGCGAGCTCTTGACATGTCGCGGTGGGTTTTTAGTTTGTTGGAGAGTACACTCACTGCTGCTGTGGCATGTTTCCTGCTGCCGTTTTTATTCGTCGAAAGCGGGTTTGGAATCGTTTGACCGCTTTACATGCACGCTATCGCTCACGTGCAGCTTGATTTTATGTAGCCGACGGAAAGAGTAATACCCATGGCGTCCCCATCCTCGTTATCTTTTCCTCCTGGAAACCCTTCTGGCGCTTGGTAGGTCCACGGGGTTCTGCGGAACCTCAAGCTCGAGGCGCCGAAAACCGGCGACGAGGTACCGCTACGGCCGATCACCGCCGGTGCCCAAGCTTCGCTAGAGGCTGACGGACCAGCCGCTGCGACACAAACAACGCAGCGTAAGGCGGCGGCGTTGCCAGGAGGCGCTCGGGAGGACGATCTGGAGGAGAGCTCGCCGGCTAGCCTCGTACGCCTTGAGTCGCGGGACAGCGGCAGCGATAATAACGCCTCCGAGGGAGCGACGCGGGGGGCGGAAGCGGAGGAGGCGTGTCCGTCGTCGTCGGCGGCGGCGTTGTCCTCGACTCCTTCCACTCCCAAGTATACGTGGTTCTCCCTGTACGATGAGCAAGGAGCGGGAGCCAGGAGGATGTCTAACCCGCGAGTCGACGGCTCCGATGCCACGGCCGGAGGGAAGGCCGGCTCTGTCGACAACAATGGCGCTGGCGGCGGCGGTGGTGGTGGTGCTGGGCCTGATGCGTCCACGCCACCCCCGAAAAAGGCCGAGGGGTCGTGGAGATGGGGTTGGGGCCGAAAGGGAAGCGCTTTGAAAACGGCGGCGGCGACAGCTGTAGCGAAACCCGGAGAGCGGGAGGGCGCCAAGACCGACTCCGCTGCAGGAGCATCGGCAGCAGCAGCAGCAGGGGCAGCAGGAGCAGGAGGAGCACAAGAAGAAGAAGGAGCATTGGCCCCGTCGGCTGGCAAGGAGACCGCTGCTGGTGTCGGCTGTTCCGGTGGGCAAGTCGAGGTGTCGGGGGGCGACGAGGACGAAACGGGGGAGGGCGGAGAGGGGCGACAGGTGCCGTCGGTGCTGGAAGGCGAGCCGTCTGCCGGGAAAGAGGACGCGGACGGGGCGTCGGCGGCGGTGGCGGCGGGTAAGAGGCTGGCGGAGAGCGTGGGGCGCGAGAGAAAGAGGCTGAGGAGAAAGGACGTCTACTCGTACTTCATTATGCCGCTGATGCGGGCGCTGGAGTTGCAAACGGGCACGACGTTGTGGCTCCGCAAGGTGGGGTGGACCCCCTTTGCCGCGAGAACTGAAGTTTATAGGGGAAATAGAACTGGGAGGTGGTACGCGGACCCTATTATTCCCTAACCCAACTCCCCCGAGTGCATGCCTTCTCGAACATGTTTACTTACGGGTGTTGCTCTGTGGTGGTTGCGCTGCGCTTGGTTGGTTTTTGTTGCCGCGAGACGGTCGCGAGCGTCTTTTTTCTTCTGGCGGGATAGTCTTTGTCTTAAGGATTGGTCTGCAGAGATCGAGAGAGAGAGAGCCAGGACCGAGGCTACTGGCAACGGGCGAGGTGTTGGCCAGGACCGAGGCTACTGGCATCGGGCGAGGTGTTGGGTTCAGGAGAGCACACAGCACGGGCTCCCGTCTGCTAGAAATGGGTCTTATGAAAACACCAACTGTGTGTTCGGTAGGGTACGGGTACGCTCGGTAAGGTATATTGAAACCGTACCGAAGCGTACCGAGATTGTCGGTAAGGTATTGAAATCTTACCGAAGCTACCGAGATTTTCGGTAAGGTCTATTGAAATATTACCGAAGCATACCGAGACGCTCGGAAGGGTACATACCGCCGGTATTTATCGTCGGTATGCCTCGGTCGTACCTTACCGAACACACCGTTGGAAAAACGCCGTTCAATCACGAACTTTGTAGCAGTTTTCACCCGCACTTCGTAACCTCTAGTTTTGGCGCAGGCTGGGTTTCTGTTTCTAGTTCCTTGCGTTATGCTACAAATGGCCGCTAATTATATAGGCTTTTGAGTGTAGGGCTCCTCAACCGGGCTCACAACAATGGTGCTCAAGCGCTTTAGATTTTGAGTTTTTCGAGAGGCTATATGTATATATATATATATATCAGTTTCTTGCCTGCCAAGTTGCGGACGCCAACTCGATAGAATTTAGTATTAAGCAACGAGTGCCCTCGCGCCCTTCCTTCCCTCCGCTGCCATCACCCCCCTGCGCTGCCACTTGGCAAACTTAGTTGCTAGAGGCCAACGGCTCGAAGGAGATACCGGCGTCCGCGGTGCCGCTTTGGGTGCCGCCGGACCCGAGCTGCGAGGAGGACGTGACGAGGGTGCTCGGCCGGCTGTTCGCCCCCTCGACCGACATCGCAAGCGTTAGCGAGGACGAGCAGGAGCAGGAGCAGTCAGGCCCCCTTGCAGGAGGCAACACCTGTGGGCCAGGTACGCCTAGGGCTAAGGGCACTAACGGCGCGCCGCCGATTTCGGGAGCACCCCACGGGTATTACATGCCCCCTGCCCCTGCCAAGGTGGCGTACCCGGCTCTGATTAACCGTTACTGCGGCGGGGTCAGCAAGGCCCGCAACGGGGACGCGAGCGTAGGCCGGCGGCCGTGCTGGCTGGACAGCGACGACAAGACGTGCGCGGCGCTGGAGCGAGACGTGCACGCCCTGGCGATGCTGGTGTTCGTGGAGTGGAGGGAGTTCGTCTCCGCGCTCCCTGGTTGTGGCGCGGTGCTCTCGAAGGAAACCTCTGCCTTGTGGTTCGCCCAGGTGATGAGCTACCTGAGTTTTATACAAGCAATATTTCTGATGAGCTACCTGAGTTGTATGCAAGTGCGTAGCGTTTTCTTGGAGAATGGGGCGGGGGATCGGAGGAATGTTACTTACGGTCGGGGGTAGCGTATGTAGCAGACCGACGAGAATAATTTTAACCCTTTCGGGCGTTTTGTTTTGAGTGCCCACCCCCATCGTGCCGCGTGCATGTGTGCAGCGTTGTTCGATGAGGGTTTGTGTCGTTCCTTTGAACTTGATGAGACGAGACGTTGGCGAGAGCCCGCCCGCTCGTGCTCTCTCCGGCTGGCTCTCTTAAGCAGCCATGGAGCTCAGCTAAATAAACAACATCCCGATCTTTCTCTCTCTCTCTCTCTCTCTCTCTCTCTCTCTCTCTCTCTCTCTCTCTCTCTCTCTCTCTCCCGTGTCACGTCAGCTACGACAGCGCTGGGCGTGCCAAGCGACACTCCACACGTCGTCAGCCACGCAGCCACTCTCTCTGGACCCGGCCGCCGCCACCGCCGCCGCAGAACCGGGCACCCGGCCCCCGTCTCCCGCGCTGGACGGCTCGGGCCGGGCCTCCAAGTTGCCGACCTCGGAGCCAGAGTCTCCCCGCCTGTCACGGCTGGAGCCAGAGATTGCGGCCGACCATTTCGGGGCCGCGGTCCGGATGGCGTGCGCGGACGCCTCGGCCCCTTACAAGCTCCCTCTCCGGGACCAGCACATGTTTCCGGACGGCGACGTGGGGCTCCCGGTTTGCCTCGTTCAGCGGTACGACTATGCCCCCAAGGAGGAAGAGGGCGGCGGCGGCCGCGGTAGGAAAGCGGTGCGGGAGATTAGGCAGGGGTCGGGCGGCGGTGGTGGCCTTGCGGACGCGACCGTGGACAATGAGAAGCTGGTCGTGGCGAGCATCAGCCCCCCGGTTTCGCTTGTGTGGGTGCACGCCTTCCGCCAGGAATTCTGGCACGTATCCTGCCC